GGGGAAGGGGGGCCGAAATCCTCATCTGGCGGGAGTCAAGATGACGACGGAGCAGAAATGCCCGCGATCCGGAAACGAACATTTCACCGCAACGTTGTCACTCGAGACATTGTTGCCACACTTCCCACCCGAAACCTCGATTCTTAGAGCTGGGATCTTGACATCACTGAAAAAATAATATGGTAGATTTTACCATACTCTGACACAATGATACAAGTACGGTAATAAACACCAGACTCTATGGTAGCATTTACCATATTATGGTAAGAATCATCAGAGTTCTGGTGAATACTGCCATAATCCTGGTTATTTTCACCAAAAAGTATCACTGTGTAAAAAATCAAGTAGAATAATGAATAATAGTAAAAATTACCATTCTTTTTTTTCAGTGGCAGCTTTGGAAAACCAAAATTGAGGACTCTTAAGGACTTTCACAGAAGCTGTGTACGGTAAGAAAAAGTATTCGGCATTTTGTGTCAATAAGGAGAGTGAAGCATGGAGTAACTCAAACGTGCGGTTAACATTTTTTGGTCAGTTTTTCTGTGGGTCACATTGATGGAATCTCTTGGTTATGCGCTAGCTGCTTACAAGTCACATCCTCTGAATGTCATCGAGAAAAACAAGGGAAAATTAGTTCAGCAGGATACTTCCTTCGCTCCTAGGTGCGTCAGATGTTCACACAAAATGTGGTATATTAACCATGTTCTTTTGGTTGTTCCAGAGACAAGAGACCTTCCACTGGCTTCTTAGCGACAGGTGGAGACTTTTAATTTCGGGGATTCAACACTACCTCAAGGACAATTTTATGGGAGTAACAGTCATCTAACCTGCTAGATGGATAATGAGCTTCGGGTGACGTCATGAGCCGAACAAACTTAATGACATTGATATGAAAAAATACTCTTGATTCAATCCAATTATTCCTTCAATCGAAGAGCCGAGCCTCTTGATTTAGGCGGATTTCCTTTTGATCCAAGCAAGAGGTCCGATTGAATTAAGAGTATTTTTTCTTATTAACATTTTAGCGGCTCTGGTGCTTGCACTAGAGCTGCTATTCCGGACGGTCCCAGCTGGGGAGTATCAATGCAGCATGTTACATTGTAGAGACCGCGCGTTGGTTGATGGGAATCGGCGCCATTTTCGGCTATGTTCCTTGTCATGACTTTATTTTATTGCATACTGTTTTATTGTTAGTCAATGCTATGTTGTGTATTGTATTTTTGGAATCATGGTGATACAGTCAACAATTCAAAACTTGTTTGTGCTTTTATCTCGTGATGGAAAAAATGTACTTTACGTTCAAAATTTGAAAATTTGAATTTTAAAGTTTTCGCGGTTAAGGAAGCTTTAACCACTGGGTTGGAGCTTCCTAGTCATATTACTTGATATCAGCTGATAGCAAACAAAGGTTACCAGGGAAACCGTAAACGTCTAACAACTATCGTGGCCATTGGGGCGATTATTGAAATGATATCGACTGTATGTCGCCGCTTACGACAGGACATAGCCCTATCTTAACTGTGTAATATATCGCAATTCGATATTGTTTTGATTTTTAAAAGGAGCAATTCATTCATACAGTTCCGATTAGTTTTGGCGAACGGGCCCTTAACCTACGGCACTCGGCTCATGGGAATTTTTTAACTTGTCCTGGACGGACTCGTCTGTAGCGCCTCGTTCTTCGTTGTGTGTGTGATTTCGTGAAGAAGTTTCTATGGCAATTTGCTTTTATTTGTGAGCTGTTTTTTCACGGGATTTTTGAATGTTCTGTACGAATAAATTCGGTGAGTACCTCATTTATCCCTCCTTCCAGTAAAATTATTTCAACTTTTCCTTCTCCCTCATTCTGGACCCACTCATGGGCTGATTATTTTCTCATTCTTGAAACTTTAGACTGGCAATTTCTATGCACAATCTATAGCTCATTAACCTATAGTTCAAGAGTTCCTCACTAGTGTCTTGCTCTTCTTTTTTATTTTTAAAGCCTCAATGTATTTATAGAATTTCAAAAATTTAGTTTTTGAGTTGACTTAAAAAATGTAGAAAATATAATGCTGTTTTAATTTTCATTTCAGGTAATGAGTCGACGCAGTCAAAGAATAATTCAGAGGTAAGAAATCTGCTTTTACTCAATATGTAAGTGTTAGTTGATATGCAAAATTGAGGAATGTTTTGGACATCTATACGTTTGATAAGACCATTTTAGGAGTTAATACTTTGAATACCTAATATTTAGTGGTGGCTTAATTTGTTAGTAACCAGAAGTTGTGTGGTCTTCTTGAACTGTAATTTGTTTTTCAATGTCCTGGGAAGTAACTGGATGATAATGTATCATTTTACTATCAGAAAATTTGTTTGCCAACTCTTAATGCGATGATAATAAGTAACAAGTTTGCAATGCTTTGCATTTATTATTTCAGTTCATGGCTATTGTTGTTTCACCTTATAACCAATTGTTTAATTTTCTTGTCATAATATGGCAACCAATAAAAAAATTTTAGCAGAAGCTTTATTAATCTACCTAAGAAACTCTCCATTTTTTGCTTGTTTCAGAGATACAGCTATAACCAAATGCAGAAACATTCCTGGTTTTGATGAATCCACCCCGATCCAAAACAATACTATATGCATTGAAACATCTGCACAATCGTATGACGCCGAGCCAAAGAAGGAAAAGAAAATAGAATCGAGTGAAACCTATGCACTGTAAGTAAAAATTTCAGTTAATTCTATTCTAGTTGCAACCTTGCGTTGTTATCAAGTTTATTGTGTGACTTTAGATGTTCCTCAGAAGGTGGTTTGATCATCTTAATTGCCCATTGGCGGCTTTCCAACTGGCAATACTGCAAATTAACAAAATTTCACCACTTAAAATGTTGTAGTTTGAGCATTAGTCTTGTGAAACAAAATTACACTTTCCAAAATCTCATTATGCATATTTGTTTTTTTACAGACGTGAGTATTATTAAGTTTACTATTATGTTTACTATGCGGCTGTAGGTGCCCCTTAAATTGTGGTTTAAGCATCTTAATTATCTATTGGCTGCTTTCCAACTGTTAATACTGCAAATTGACAAAGGAGGGGTATCGTTAAGGGCCTTTTTTGGGCCTACCCTGAAATTCCTCAACTCTGCGTTTTTTTGGTCATTGAAGGTCTATATTTTACGGAATGCATAATGGTTTGGTCATTTCCGATCTATTTTGGGGTCTACCACTGGCCTAAACATGGGTCTGAAGGCCAATTTTGGCGAAAAATGCGGGTTTTTCAGCATTCAACGCGCTATTGTAACCGATCCTTTCGGAGGACAAAAAATTCCTTCAAGTATGTTCATTAGGGATGTAAGAGTGTCACTTTGGCCAATTTTCGTCGATGTCAAACTTTGCGCTCATAGTTAAAAAAAAACTTTTTAGAATTTTGTTCAACCCAAGTGGCATACATGTAGTAGAATTCCAATTTATTTTTAAAACAACCGATCTTATATTTTCCTCTACACAGGGTGAACGTTGCAAATGATATATCGAACAATGATTCTGATATTACGCATCCAGTAAATGAAGCAGAAAATTCATTCATCGAAAATCTTGAAACACATCAGTCGAACTCAAAGCCTAAAAAGAAGATAAAATCAAAGTCACGTGACTTATCGTAAGTACAAACCTGCAACTTTGTTTTTTATAAAAATAGGAATAATTTTAAATTAACTGTAAAGCTTGGAATAAGTATGCAATTTTTCCCTGCCAGGAAATGTGATAGTTTCAAGAATATACAATTTTTTTTCTCTTTTTTTTTATTTCAACAATGGGCAACCTTGACTTTTTGCCGATGGATTCGTTGGAACTCGGTTTCGGGTGTATCTGAATAGGAGGAAAACGATAAGCTGATAAAAAATACATAAAAGAACAGAAAATACATTCGGAATGCTGTAACCTTTGAGACAGGTACACACCTACATTAAATTGTGCCATGTCGAGGAATTATTTCTACCGGTTTTTGAAAAGAGTTGATCCGTTTTCAGCATTTGCGAACTGAATTAGTTAGTGCTACGGAGAAAACTATTTTCTCTTCGCTGCTACGACTCATTGCTCCGGAGAGAAATTTTTTCTTTTCGGAGCAATTATAGTCTTAGCAGTGGAGAGAAAATATTTTTCTCTTTGGCACTAACTAATTGCCATGGAAAGAAAACTTTCCTCTCCGGAGCAATTAGTCTGTGGCATTACGCAGCAATTAGGCATACGCATTTCGGAGCTTAGCGAGATTCGCAGGTCAAAAACCGAACGCGAGACTAAAAATAGGGGAGACGGCGCTATGCTTGGAGTATGTCTACAGTTTTGCAGGCGCTTTGCACGATCATTTTCTTCACAAAGTTCAATGTTTCGGAAATGTACTTCCGGTAGATGAGGTAGCTTTGTACTGATCCGGTTACAATAATGGAGAACTTTTAGCACTCATGGAAAGGCAATTTTCAAGGAACGACTATGAACACGCTCCTCATTCTAACTTGTCGTCGCTTGGCTGACATAAAGGCGTAACAACACTCCGCTTGCTACGGTTGCTTGGTTTCTCTCCGCTGCTACGACTCATTGCTCCGGAGAGAAAATTTTTCTTTTCGGAGCAATTATAGTCTTAGCAGTGGAGAGAAAATATTTTTCTCTTTGGCACTAAGTAATTGCCATGGAAAGAAAACTTTCCTCTTCGGAGCAATTAGTCAATGGCATTACGCAGCAATTAGGCATACGCATCTCGGAGCTTAGCGAGATTCGCAGGTCAAAAACCGAACGCGAGACTAAAAATAGGGGAAACGGCGCTATGCTTGGAGTATGTCTACAGTTTTGCAGGCACAATAATGGACAACTTTCAGCACTCCTGAAAGGACAATTTTCAAGGAACGACTATGAACACGCTCCTCATTCTAACTTGTCGTCGCTTGGCTGACATAAAGGCGTAACAACACTAAGAGATGAGCCCGGGAAAGCATCGAGTTATACGGTAAACAGAGCTTACCTCGAAAAGTAGTTACGTCCATATGTTAGCTGGCCAATTATTGAACTTTAAAGACTAAGCTTTAGACAAAGAAGACAAAAGAATTATTGGTGGAAGCGGGTGATTGCAGTTGACAAAGTAGGTAAGGAAGAGTAACTAACGGCACCCCATATCCTAGAGCAGGTAGGTATTAGAGAAATACCTGTTCCCTGGATGGAAAAAAGGGAACAAAATAGAGAGAATCCTTGGTCAGGCAAAGCGAGGCATGGGGCCGGTGATTAAGAGAAAATCAGTAAAATCGTTCAGGAGCAGCGGGAAAAGCAGCATGCATATACAGGGGTGTAAATGGTTTTTTATGGAGGGGGCGAGGGGAGCGAGGGTCGTCGGAGGGGAATGAAGGAAGGAAAACGCCCCCACAAACTCAAAAAATAAAGAGTACAGCCATAATTATTGGATATTTGCTCCGTAAACAGCAATTTTCAGCTGATTTAGAGCTAAAAACCTTCAAATCGGCCCTATTTTCCGAGAGCTCGACAGAATATTTTCTGGTGTTGGTATCTTTTATCTTGAATCATATCTAGTACAACCTTCGTTTCTCTTTAACAAATGAAGACACATCTAAAAATTTTAATAAGTTTTTTTTAATAAAAATGTTTTTCTTTCTCTTGCATTATTGTGAATGTATTGAGTAAACGACGTCTGAACAAATCTCAACATTCAAAATTAAGTATCTATGAGATTGAATCCCAATATATATTTAATAGAAACAAAGTTTATTTTTTTCTTTACACAGGCTGAATATTGACGTTGAAAATGAGATCATATCCATAAGTGATTCGGAGCAATCTCATGCACGAAATGAATCGCCATCTTCATTCATAAAGAATGCAAAAAAATCATATCAATCCAATTTGAAGTCACGTCTTTTTTATTTCAACAATGGGCAACCTCGCCTTTTTGCCAATGGATTCGCTTGAAACTCGGTGTTTGGGTGTATCTGAATAGGAGGAAAACGATAAGCTGATAAAAAAATACATAAAAGAAAAGAAAATACATTCGGAATGCTGTAACCTTTGAGACAGGTACACACCTACATTAAATTGTGCCATGTCGAGGAATTATATCTCCTGATTTTGAAAAGAGTTGATCCGTTTCCAGCGTTTGCGAACTCAATTTTAAAAAAAGTTTCTCTTTTAGGATGCGATGTTGAGAATTTTCTTGAACCTTCCTTAATTTAAATGTGAACTATACCGTAAACTCATTCTGAGTGCGAAGGAGAGGAATACAATCACTCCTAAGCAATTAATCGGTGCTTAGGAGAAACTTCATTCCTCCTGGGAGGAATAAGTTACTATTTGGGAGAGGAAAGTTTCTCTCCGGGGCAATTAGTTAGTGCTACGGAGAAAAATATTTTCTCTCCGCTGCTACGACTCATTGCTCCGGAGAGCAGCTGCTTGAGTACAATCTGCTTTGGAGCAATCTCATGCACGAAATGAATCGACATCTTCATTCATAAAGAATGCAAAAAAATCATATCAATCCAATTTGAAGCTTAAAAGAAAGAGAAAATCAAATTCAAGTCCAATATCGTAAGTACAAAATTTAAATATTCTTTGTGAACTTATGTACTTGACATTCAACTGCATTCAACCTGTTAATAATAAGAAATCAACTAATATTCTTTCATTTTATTGGTCTGGATTAGCACTGCTTTCAGAGAGCGCCAAAATTCAAACGAGCCAATCAGATTTAAATATTGCAAATCGCTACATCGAATGACATCATGATTCTTCGTTAAAAATGGCGCTTTTTGCAAAATCTAGGGATTTTTTAAGTATATTTGAGCAAATCTGGGGATTTAGGGATTTTTAGCGAAATCTAGGCATTTTTTTTCTTCCCCGCTAGGGATTTAATATCGGAAGACTGGCTTCCAGTATCGTAGCGTTGATCGTCGCTGATGTCGAAATGGAACCTAATGCCGGACTTACTGTAACACCTCCATTCCTCAATTCCGGTGAGGAATACGTCTCTACCCTTAACTCAATATAAATATACAAATTGATAAGTGAGTGCTTTAGTCTCCTGAAAACAGAATTGCGAAACTTAAAATTGGAGAAAAATGATGAGTAAATGAAAAAATGGAACCAATTGATGGGATATGTCGCATGCCATTCTGACACAAAATATGGCGTCTATCGAATCACCTTAACTAAATAAAATAACCAAATTTTCAACTCTCAAACTATCAACTATCAACTATCAAATTTCAAACTATCAAAATTTCCAACAATGACAAAAATGATTGTAATATACCTATAATGTAATGAAATATACACGCTCTAATCATTTAATTTGTATTACCTTTATGTTATGTACCTACATGTTATACTATTTTTATAATAAATTTTGCCAACATGCTTTTCAATTCAGTCTACAACATTTCATTCCGACGTGGCAATAATGATTTATAATGCCCCTAATCCATTAAAATGAATTACAATAGTAATGCCGCATTATAATGTCGTATTATACATCGCAACGATTCATGTCCTACTGATTATTGATTATTGTAAGATGAATTCTGTTTTCTCTGATTGTATGTTTCATACGTGCGAAGCAAGTACGGGTCACTAGAAACGTGGTTCGTACGGGTGGCTGATGAAATTGATCTTCGAATACCTTTTGATGAGCTAGGGAAATGGAACCATCTGCATCTCATGGACAATAAATAGTTGCCGTAATTAAGGTCATCCCGTGATTAAGGTGCCGTGATTTAAGTCATAAATTCTTCATCTAATTCTTGATTCATCTCCAAAATGTCTGCTAAAGCTTTCATGCGCTTCTCCTTGTATGCATGAATGAGCAAATTGGGTATCGAACAAGCGGACACTTTTTGAAAATTTAGATGATTCTGGACAATATCGTACAGAAGTCCACGAGCTGCAGATAGAACCATTACCTCTAGCTCATCAAAAGTTATTCGAAGATCATTCAACAACCTCTTTGACAAGTTGCAAAAACTTTTCGTTAACAATAGTGTCACACGGTACTAGGAATATTTACTATTTAACGAACCTTATATTTCCCTGACTCAGTCCTAAATTATAGAAGTATGCGTTACTTTTCCAGCAATCCAAAAAAACAATTATACAAAAAACCAATACCTACACTTTCAGATATAAAAATGCAAATTTTTTGCAGCCTCGCTAAACGACTTATCAACCAGAGATTTTTTAGGAAGCGGACCTCCAAAGAGCTTTCAAAATTAAAAGTATACAACAAGTGATAATGCCATGTATTCGCCATATCAAAGCCCAATACACATTTATACACCGGCTACGTAAATCTGCTAAGTTACAAAACATGAATCGACAGTTGTCGGATTGTACATCAATGACAAAATGTGTCTAGGCCCTCATTCTTGACTACAACTACTGCCCCCAGAGCCGCTCTCCGACGCCAATGCGTTGGAGCTTCCTGCTTGTTTAAGATTCTAGACTCTAGATCCAAGCGAATTTTCTCCCCAGTGTACATAGATTTTTACTAGATTTTTGTTTGGAGTTTTTACTTATACCGTACGGTGGTTCAACAACGCCAAAAACTCGGGGACTTAACGTAGCTGTTGAATGCGCCTACAATCTACACAGGCGGCAACCGGCAACACT